GAGGTCACAGTTGCAATGACCTGTCAGAGGGCATGCCGCGGTTGATGAGAGACAAGGTGGGACCTCAAGGAGGAAGAGGGCACCCAGGTGGTCTCAGGGTGGAGGGAGGCCAGGAAAGGCTGGGGCCGCAGAGCTCAGAGCGGGCTTCTAGTTGGGTGGGGAGAGTCGGGAAGGGCTTAGGTTGGAGTCGGCTGCCTAAGGGAGCCAAGAGGAGAAATCACCTGAGGGCATCAACCTGCCTCCACACCAGCGGTTCTCAACCTGTGGGTCGCGACCCCTTTGGGGGTCGAACGACCCTTTCACAGGGGTCGCCTACGACCATCGGAAACCACATATATAATTACATATTGTTTTTGTGATTAATCACTATGCTTTAATTATGTTCAATTTGTAACAATGAAAATACATCCTGCATATCAGATATTTACCTTACGATTCATAACATTACAACATTACAGTTACGAAGTAGCAAAAATAATTTTATGGTTGGGGATCACCACACATGAGGAACTGTATTAAAGGGTCGAGGCATTAGGAAGGTTGAGAACCACTGCTCCACACTCCTGGTCCCTCCCTGACCACTTTCCTTTTCACTTCTGACTCCTGCCCAGGGCAAACCCTGCTCTCCCTCCCGGATCAAGCCACCTCCCTCAATACCAGGTGGGAGTCGTTGGGAGAACCACTCACCTGCCTCCTAGGCGGGGGCCAGCGGGGCAGCACAGAAGGGCCTCCACGTCCAGGCTCCATCTCTGTCAATACCAGGATCTCCCATCAGCCTAGTCGACTTGTTCCCCCACCCTCTTCTTGAGGCAGCTTGGAACATTGAGAGATGAGTTATCTTTGAGAAGGTCATCCCTCCATTTCAGTTTCCCCAGGTGAGGAACAAGGGGTTGGATGGGCGGACTCAACCCGGGAGAAGTAGCTGCATCAGGAACTTAACTCTGTGTTGGTGCTTTGCACCTGTTCTCTCTTCTCTCTCTGTCCTTACAACTCCATGAGGTAAATGGTATAACCCCCATTTTCCAAATGAGCTCAGAGAAGATCAACAAGTTAAGGTCACAAGGCTAGACCCACACAGCTGGGGGAGGAGGTATTTGGAAATATCCCACCCCCCTCCCCAGCCTTCCTGCTGCAGGGCTAGAGCTGCCAGAAGGGAGTAGCTGGGCCCCCTTGGTCCCCCAGACAGCTTCCTCTCCATGCCATACAAGAAGCAGCTGTGGCCTGAAGAATTTAGGGTGCTTGCTGGTTGGTCCAAGTTTTCTTATGATAGTGAGGTTCAGGCCTCAGCCTGTGCTGCCCACCCAATGCTGCCGAATCTTGTTCCTCTGTGATCTTTGGACCCAGAGCCACATGAGTTCTCTCTTTTGATCACAGATGTCCTTCAAGAGCCAGCAGATGGGCCCTCTAAGAACCTGGGGCCTGGGCCATGGTTCCCTATGGCCACCAGGGGGCAGCATCTGTCAAGCATGCAGACTCAAAGTGGGGTGGGCTTTTCCCTACCCTCAGCCAGACTCAGGCCTGAGCAACTCCCAGGAGGGCCAGCCAAGCTCCACACCAGCCTGGTCTGAGAGCTGAGCTGCCCCGAGGGCCGGTTCAGGTCTGTCCCCCTCCCTTCCACTTTCCTGTGGATCTAACAGCTGGCCCCACTCTTAGAAGTTTCCTGCATGAGCCATCTTTCCTGAGCCCAGCTGGCCTTTCTGAGCCCCACCAGATTTCCTGAACCCCAACACCCTTGGGGCCCCACTAGCTGGCCTGCTGTTGGGTCCCAACTGTCACCTGCATGTCTGTGGGTCAGACCTCCACGGGCCTTCCTGGTCTGGTCCATCTCAGGTCCAGGTGTGTTCAACTAACTGAATAGGGGCACGGAGGGGCCGGGCCAGTGACTTTTCTCACTGCTCGAGGGAAAGCCAGGCAAGCCAGCCGTCAGGACCTCCTGTGCTAGGGGGACCCCAGGAGCAGGTGTCTTTAGGGCAGCTAGCCCCTCTCTCCCTCCTGGTGGTTTGGGGCCACTCGGTCCCCCAGCCTTTGCCTTCCCATCTGCAGCCAGAGACTCACCATGAGGGTCCTGCACCCTGTTCTTCTAGGCACCGTCCTTGGGACCAGTGCTGGACTGTCCCCGCAGCTGAAAGGCTCATGCCCAGGGCGATGCACCTGGCGGTGCCTCTTTTAGCCAAAAGCATGGCCTTGGCAGCCAGTCTGCACCCAGTAGCGGCAGCAGGAGCCTCACATTACAGTGGGTTGGCAGGGCTAGCACAGTCCCTCAAGCGACCAGAGGGACTGAGGAGGCTGGGAGGGGCAAGGAGCTGCGCACTGGGCCCAGGAGAGGGAGGATGTGAGAGAGTGGTGGGGACGCTCCGGCCCGCTCCCCCTAACTCCAGGGCTGGGATGAGGCTGGGCCAACAGCCGGCTTACCTCAAGTGCAGGGCTCTGGGTCCAGGATGCAGCGAGGGCTGGGGCCCGAGGGACCTGCTGCTCGTGGAGCCCGTGGGCCGTGTCTGGGGGCCGGGCCCAACTCCATCCCTCAGCAGCCTCATGCCTGCCGCCGACCGGTGTCAAATTCCAGTCCCGGCGTCACCGGATCCCGGGGTGGGGCCCAAGCGCCCCCGCCCCGCCCTACCTTTCAGGGTTCACCTGGTTGCTCCACCCGCTGGGATCCGGTCCCCCCCTGGCTCAGCTAAGTCCCCCAAGGTGAAGGGGAGGACACGGGGAAGTGGAAAACCCAGGACACAGCGTGGAGAACTGGAGCGGCGGAGAGGCGAGGAAAGTGGGCGTTCAGTTTATAGACACGCGAAGTAGGGAGTTGGGAGGCCGGGCCGAGGGCGGGAGAGGGAGGAGACAGGATAGTCCCAGCCTTGGGCCACCGGCCCTCCAGTTGGCGCCGTCTCAGGGCCCTGGCCGGCCACCCTGCAGTGACTGCTCTCTGCTCTCTGGTCCACTGCTAGTTTCCTCCTTCAGCAGACCCGCGGAACTCCTTGGGTGGGCCAGGCCCTGTGCTGGGGCTTCCAAGTCTGACCCTGCTCCAGCCGCCCCACCACCCTGCGCCCTGGCAGCCTGGGGCTTGGAGTAGAGACACACCTGTAAACACTGCCGCTAGGAGTGGGTGCCCAGTGCTGAAGAAGGGGTGGGGGGGGGGGCGGTTCACGGAGGAGGAGTATTTCATGTGCTCATGAGCTGGGGGATAGTATTTCAGAAGCCTAATTATGGCAAGTTGGCAGGTGGGGTGGAAGTAGGGTGAGTAACATGCATAGAGGTAAGGAAAGGCCAGATGCTGTGTCATACCCGCGAGTCTGGACTTTATCCCGATGACACTGGGGACCACGGAAGGGTTTCAGGCAGAATAATGGTGCATCAGACTTACATTCTCTGACTGCTGCGGTGGGGAGGGTGGTTTGGAGAAGAGGGGTGGAGATGTCAGGAGGCTGCTGAGGGAGTGAGTGGGAAGCAGAGTGGCGGGAGAGTGGGGGGGTACTGCACGGGTCTTTCTGGATCACAGCTCTTTGAGAACCCAGCTGGCGCCTGACTGATGGGCTGAGGGAGGGCAGACACGGGCATGCTGCAGGCCGGGTGACCAGGTGGAGGGGATGCATTCTGGCAGGAGAACTCCCTGGGGGAGGGCCGGGAGCTCAGGTCAGTGATGGGCATGCTGAGTCAGGAGGACCTGCGGATTCTCCTCCTGGAAAAGTTCAGGATGCTGCTGGACTTGCAGCCTCGAGTGGAGTGGAGGGAGCTGGGCTGGAGAGGGCACTTCGGGAACTGTGGACCAGCTGACAATTGGAAACCGTGGGTGGAAATGGAAGTGCTCAGGGAGTGTGTGTGGACCAGCTATGGCCCGGCCATGCGTTAGAACACCCGTAGGACCTCTTAAAACTGCCCGCCTCCGGGCTCCACCCCAGCCCTGCATCAGAACCTTGGTGTGCGCATGTGCTGGTTTCCAAGTCCGCACAGGTGTTTCTGGTGCCAGCCAGGGCTGAGACCACTGCTTTCCTGAGAGCAGTTTCTGTGCACAGGGGGAGGCTACAAGCCAGACTGCAGAGAACTGCGGGTGGTGTGGGGGCTGTCTGCGGGCCTGAGGACCCCTGAGGGGCAGGAGGCCAGGTGGTGAGCAGCTCCACTGTCTGCTGCCTCTCACAACTGGCTGCCCAGTTGGGTGGCTTCCCTGGGGCTTTATCAGCCCTGGCTGTGGCTTGCAGGCGTGCTGCCTATGCCCTGTACAACTCTAGGGGGCACCATTCACGCAGAATACGACGTGCATTGGAGTGCTTCGCAGCCGCCCAGCAGATCCGAGGGAGTTTTGGTTTTGCCTGTCCCTCAGTCAGGGCCTTGCTTTCCCCTCAGTGGAGGAGGCTCCTGCCTGAGAACAAACCACAGCAGTAAGGGCACACGTGGGAAGGCGGCGGAGTGGATGGGGATGGCAGGTGAGAGCCAAGGGTCCCAGCCAAGGTGGCAGCTCTGGCCGGAAGCTCACTCCATGGTCTCAGCTGCTGGCCTGTGCTGGGCCCATTCTCAGGCCTGCATGGGGATTCTAGGGAAGGGTCAGGGGTCAGATTCCCGGGCTCTAAGGGGTGAGGTGGGAAGAGACATCCTTCCTAATAGTCGCCAGAGTGCCTAGAGCTGGGCTGTGCCTTCCTGTTCTGAGAGAGAAGAGGGGGCAGGAGAGAGGGTGTGCCTGTGTGCTCAGGTGGGGGTAGGACAGCCCTTTGCAGGCTCAGCCGGGGGTGCCAGGAATGGGTGAGGTCTGTGGGCTTCTGTGTGTTGGGGGCTCAGCAGGGTATCTTTCCTGTACTTGCAGGAACCTGTCCCTGCAGTGGTGGGGCTGTGGGACCCAGAGGCACTGTCCTGGAACCATGGGCTTCAATCCTCTGCCCTTTGGGCAGGCCCTGAGGCCCCTGGTCTACTTCTTTTCAGGCAAAGAGGGTGCAGGACTGTGTGGGAGGAGAGAGGCTCCAGAATGCCCCTGGGCCTGCAGTTGGCACCGAAGTGAAAGGAGCCCAGGAATCTGAGCTGAAGAGATGACCCTTGGGTTTAGCATAGTTGCTGAGGCCCCAGGTTCCTGTTTCTTGCAGGAAAGAGAAAGCAAGCGGAGGCCAGGCTCAGGGAAGAGCTTTATTGCTTCCATGATGGCTGCCCAGGATGGCTGCCGCAGCCTGGGTAAGGTCCGTAAGCCTCACTTCCCTCTGGTCCAGGCTCAAGGCAGAACCCAAGGACCTGGCAGTCCTGCTGAAACCCAGAACAGCTGCCAAGTTGGTCAGTCCAGGCCTGGGCACTGTCCTGTGGATCAGTAGCAGCTGGGGAGGGGCCATTCCCTTCAGGCTGGGCCAGGCCTCGCCTCCTGAGCTCCGAGTTCTCTCTGCTCTAGCCCAGGGGCTGTCTTGTTGGCTTAAAGAATGGCTCCGGGGTTTCCCTGTGGACAGTGGGCAGCTGGTATGTGGGAGGGTCCCGTCTTCTCCCCAAGAAAGGCCAAGCAGGGTCACGAACTGCAGGGGGCTGGCATGAGCTCCCGCCCAGCTCCCTGCAGCTCTCGAGCAGAGTACAGGCTAGTCATGGCACTCCCACTCTACAGGGAGCCCACTGGCACCCCCACCTGATGGGCCCTCTTTCTGCATGAAAGTGTACCAAACTCGA